CAGGTAGGAGGCCATCGCTCTTAGGTAGGAGGCCATCGCTCTTAGGTCGGAGGCCATCGCTGTTAGGTTGGAGGCCATCGTTCTCAGGTAGGAGGCCATCGCTCTTAGGTAGGAGGCCATCCCTTTTAGGGTGGAGGCCATCGCTCTTAGGTAGGAGGCTATTGATCTTAGGTTTGAGGCCATCGCTCTTAGGTAGGAGGCCATCGCTCTTAGGTTGGAGGCCATCGCTCTTAGGTTGGAGGCCCTTGCTTTCAGGTTGGGGGCCATTGCTCTTGGGTTGGAGCCATCGCTCTCAGGTTGGAGGCCATCGCTCTCAGGTGGGAGGCCATCGCTCTCAGGTAGGAGGCCATCGCTCTTAGGTTGGAGGCCATCGCTCTTAGGTTGGAGGCCATCGCTCTTAGAAAGGAAGAACAACATAAAAGGAAGAAAGGTCTACGGTCTACAGTAATGCATACACACCATCTTGCACAACAGGTGTTCCGCCACCGAACTGAAGTTCGCTGGAGCTCAAAACTGTGAAGGAGTCTGATCTGCCAACGACTGAGCCATGGCTGGCGCATAAGCAAACGTGGAAGCCATATGAAAGAGAAAACACTGATAACATCTGCAGCGGTCGGTACACTGGTTCTGCTCCCTGCTTTAGTTCCCACTTGGAGCACGACATATTTCCTGTCTTTTCGCTGTGCCCGGCTGTGCCAGAATGTTCTGAAAGGGACATCCAAACGAAAGCAACCTTGCAATTGTCTAATACAAACCCACGCTTGTTTGGCTTGTCACCTTTGTGTTTGGCTTCAATGCGTGCTTGCGAGAGAGAGAGAGAGAGAGAGATTGCATCGCCTGCGCACGCGCGCGCCCCTTTCGCCAGGAAGCGATTCCGTGTAAGTGTTCAGGCGGGACCGTCGCGGCGGCGCGGAATGTTGGGGTCAAGAGCTGAACGGATCCTGAAGGGATCCTATGCGGTGGTGCAAATTAGGGTTTTGTGGGTCATCGACCTGGGGTTGCAATCGAGCTGGTGTTTTTTTTCTTCCTTCTTAAATACGGAAGGTTCAAGGTCAAAAACACCGGGCGGCGACTCATGGATTCCACGTGTTTTTTTGGGAAAACCCAGTTGGGCATCCAAGTTGGAAACGCCGGGAGGCGACTCCAATCCTATCCAACTTGGGCATCGAAGATAGCCCCCCATCTTCGACTCCAGTGTCCCTCGGTCTCCTCAGTCCTCCCCATGTGCAGACCGTCACCGGACCCGTCACTATGAGCCGAAAGGATGACTCGCAAAGAATCAACGGTATAATGTAGACTCTTGATTAATAGAGGCCCCCCAATTGAATTGAATCATCCTCTTCAAAGGGAGGGTTTATGAATCAAGAGTTACCTGGATCTTCCAACTATGCAAACACTTCTAGCTTTCCTCCCCTCTGCCCAGCCCTTTCCTCTCCGCGTCCCCCGAAACGCTGCGGTCCCGCCTTCGTGGCCTTGGTGGCCCCTGGCGGACGCCCACACGGCGTCGCTGCGCAGGCGGGGGCTGCGTTTCAACCTCCCGCTGCTGCGTTTCCCGCGGGGCGAAGAAAGCGGAAGTGAGACGGTGATTGTTATCATTCGTTCGATTCAATTTGCTATCGCGATCCGGGTGGTGCCCCAAAGGTTGGAGGTCAGGATGGAGAAAGGCCACGACAGGCCGCGGCTTTTTTAACAGTGGGAAGACATCATGGTGTTCTCCCCGTGGGTTGGAGTGTTTCAGAGTTGATGGCAAGAAACTCACCCTCCAAATCATGAATTGGGTCTTGTGCCATCTACTCTGAAAGCTCTGCACCTCTATAGTTACAAAGAAGGGTCCACCCCGGTGTGTGTGTGCATGAAGTCCATGCACACTGAGCCATCTCGCCAAAGGCCGCAGGCACAATCAGTTTTCCTGGTCAACTGGTCGAAAGACGGAAGAGTTGCACAACATGATGTTCCTTCTTGGCTTCTGAAAAATGATGGTTTGACCAGCTATAGTTACTAGTTCGAACGCCTGTGCAGAGAACGATCTCATTGCGTTGACCCATCGCTTGCTCAGCCCACGGGTTCAACTGGGAGAAAGGCTGTGAGGAGGAACTCAGCTACTTAGGTGAAAAGAATTGATTCAACATGAGTCAGTCACACCTGGGCAATGGTTTCAAGCACTCGACTTTTGATGTTTTCTCTCCCGTTGCAAACATACCGTGGAACGGCAGCTCGCGAAAGGGATGCTGGAGAATCAGACTCAGCGCGGGTCGGATGATGACAGCACGGGTCGGATGTGTGCAGTGATCCAAGTAGGGTACTCTCCAATCCTACTCAGCAAGCTGAGCCCCCAACACTGGCGCTGACAGAGGGAGGACTACAAACAAGCTGGTCCAATATGGTGCCATCGGGGTCAAGACCAACACAGAGAAAGTGCTTGCCTGTGGAAGCGGGTCGAGGATGACAAAGCGATACATCATACATCAGTTGACTTATCATCGCTGGGTTATGCATCTGGGGTAAACAGACCTTGGGGTCTCAAGTCAAATGAGACAAAATAACAAGTCGTTGGTGTGTTGAACCAGTCGGTGTGTAGTGATGCCACAAGTTTTCACTGTGGCCCAAGAATGAGGGCTTTGTACATCGGATGGTTCTTTCCAGGACGAAATCTGATGCCGATCCATTCAGCCAGAATCTTGTAGAGAACACAGCGATAGAATGCGATAGAGAAGATCAGCATGCTGCAGCAGTTTTGTTTAAAAGACTTAGAATCCAAGTTAAGAGGTATGTCCAAATTTCAACGAAGACTCTGTATTTCTACCAGGAGACTCTGTAATTTGAGCAAGAAGGACTGCGGTTTGAACCTGGAACCCAGTCTGGGGTTCCAGGGGGTTTGACACCCTCAAGCAAACGCTTCGACGGTTTGGTCGAGGTGGTCATCATCCCAAGACTTTTTGCCAAAGAAGGACTCTTTCGAGTCCTACATATGAGGTTGGACGGGGTGGCCTCCAAGGTCTCTACCCTGGCGCGGTGGAAACCACTCGATGAGGGTCCGGAATCACTGCCCATTGGAATAGGCCTTTTCTGGGCCGGAGCAGATCTGTCTTTCCCATGCGGATGTTGGAGGGGCCACCTTGTGAGAGACCTGAACTGCACGGAAGAGAAAACGCTTCGCCGCGCGAGTGCCGGGTGCCAAACTGCGCAGTTGCACGCGCCAATGCGAGGTTTGAAAGGACCAAGTCCCAATTGCGAGGTTTTCTTGAAACCCCTCAGGTCCGTCCAACCTTCCTGACCTCTCCAAGCCACCGCCTGCCACCTTTCGGAGCCGGTGGAGAGGTGGTGCAGAGGCGGTACCGACCGGTGAAGACCAAGGAATCCGACACGGAGACCAAGCCGGTGGTCACCTTCCGCTTGAGCGTGGGGAGTGAGAAGGCGGGTGAAAACCCGGGCGGGTGGAGGGGACCAGGTGAGTGGCAGGGGATGACGGCACTTTTTTTACAGAGATTTTTTCAGGATGTGCATGGATCATCATGGATCCGGAGCTGCCAGACGACCGCGGAAAGCACGTCGAGCCGGAATCGGTGATGCCGGGACGATGCCCGCGAGGAACACCAGGAAGACCGTACCAGCTGCGTCGCATGTTTTTGGTCTTATAGTTTTTACGAGAGGGTTTGGAACCAACATCGATTTTGAAGGACTTCGTTCCATCCTGTCTGCACAAGACTTCGTTCCATCCGTTTTGAGACACGTGTAGACAGGTGTAGCAGCTGATTTCGACAGGTCCGGGGATCCTCCAGTTCGACCCATGCGCCGCCAGTTCGACCCAGGAATGTGGATGGATTTGGTTCCCAAACATGGAAGTGGACAAATCCTTGTTTGTAGGGGAGTCTTTCCTGGTGCCATTGCCCACTTCCATGATTGTGGGAGAGAGGGTAAGGGGGGTCAAGGATCTGTGGAACCTGGTTCCCAAGCAGCTTTTAAAGACACCTTGGCGGGTGTTTAGGACGGAAACATGTCTTGATTTCAATACCTGGGTCTTCCGACTGTGGGTTGCAGGACTGTCTGCCGACCTTGGCCGGCTGGTGTTCTAGATGAAAGGCCATGGTCCAGTTGGAAGATCTGGTCCTGCACACGTGGCCTGAACCCTTCAGATCACTTCAACCCGTTTCATCCAACTTCCATCGCTTCAAACTCCCTGAGGGGGGCCCCTGCTGCGCTCGCCAGGCCGCGAAGCAGCTGAAGCCTCGTGGACCCGTGCGCCACGACTTCTCGGAGAGTCTTTGGCCCAACTGAAAGCGACGGTGTTGGGCGGTACGTGAGTGAGTGGAAGGCTAGTGTTGAAAAGACGTGGAGGATCCGCAAGTGAAGGACAAGTGCTCTTTTTTTTCTCGAATTCATAGCAAAGGATTCTGGTTGAACTCTGGTCCGAAGGATTCGCGACTTGTTGTCTCAGCGTTCGTAACCGTCGGCAACCGTCCGCAACCGTTCGCAGTAGGGCGCTATGGCGCTCATATTGGGCGAAGCTTTTGGAGAGGGTTTTGGATGGGAGCATGACGTGTCAGATTCGTGTGAAATAGTGAGGAAAAGTCGAAACGTGAGAGGATGAAGTGTGGAGGATGATTTCACTGCGCAGATGCAGCGTTTTGTGAGATCCGCAGTTTTCTGCGCAGTCACATTGAGATTGGCGTTTGGAGGGTGGTGTTTTTGGGGTGTTGGATGTGGCTGTGACATTAGGATTTGCGTTTCAGGGTGTTGCCTCGAAGCGGTGTTTTCCGGACAAGTCTCAGCTCAAATGGCGAGTTAGGGATCGGAAATGTTTTACTTCGAAATGCAGCTTTCGTGGCAGGTACCGTACTTTGGGCATGGTGGTGATCTTCGACGAGCTCTGAATTCGTGACAGGTGCAGTGAATCGTAGCTTTTTGATATGTGGGCTCGTTTGCAGATTTCGTGGCAACCTCGAAGTGCAGATTTCGTGGCAGGCACAGCGCTTTGTCAACCTCGAAGTGCAGATTTCGTGGCAGGCACAGCACTTGGTGAACCTCGAAGTGCAGATTTCGTGGCAGGCACAGCACTGGGTGAACCTCGAAGTGCAGATTTCGTGACAGGCACAGCACTTGGTGAACCTCGAAGTGCAGATTTCGTGGCAGGCACAGCACGTTGCGAACCTCGAAGTGTAGATGTCGTGGCAGGCCGCACTTTTTTTTGTGAACCTCGAAGTGCAGATTTCGTTGCGTGCACAGCACTTGGTGAACCTCGAAGTGCAGATTTCTTTGTGAACCTCGAAGTGCAGATTTCATGGCAGGGCTCTCAGATGCTCACACTCACACTCACTCTCACTCACAATCACGTTCACACTCACACTCACTCACACTCACATTCACATTCACACACACTCGATCTCACTCACACTCGCACTCACACTCACTCTCACTCTCACACTCACACTCACACACTCACTGACACACTCACACTCACACTCACACTCACACCCGCACTCACTCTCACTCTCACTCTCACTCTCACTCTCACTCTCACTCTCAC